ATGTCCCTCAGTGCCCCATGTTTTAGGGGGTTTCTTTGTGTCCCTTACTTCAATACCCATATGATTCCAACCCCTAAAACCCATGACCCTTTCTAAGAGAGAAGTCCAATCTGCCACCAGCTTGCAGAATCAGGGTCACAGAATGGCCAGGGTTGGAAGGGACCTCAAGGATCATGAATCTCCACCCCCCCCGCCACATGCAGGGAGCCTTGCCCAGCAGTCTGTTCTCAAACATTTCTCTCCTGTGGACTCACGGTAGCTGTAGGGATCCAGATAAAACTGTAAAGCATCAGTAAAATAATGGAAGCTATCTTTTACCTTCTTTCATCTTTCAGACCAACGGGCTCTTTGCCAGAATGCCTACAGGGCTAGCCATGACCAGTGTGGGAGTTCAGGAAAGACCAGAGCCTGTATCTTTAAAGATTAATAGTGTTGTTTGCTCATTAAGGAGATCATTTTGAAGCTAGCGCTAACCAGAACATTCGAGTGCAAGCATCTGTTTGCTACTGGGAGAGGATATTTATTGTCTGATACTTCAATGGATGTAAATAAACAGCCAGACCTAGATAATGTTCAGACAAACAAACAAACAGCTGCCAGAATAGGTCCCCTGGCAGTTGACCTTCGGGAAGCATCATGCTGATGTTTTAATAGCAGCCAGCTTTGCAGAATGAAGCCCAGCAAGTGCAGCCTTCCGAGAAGCAGAATTAATGTGCAGTCTGAATGAGCTGATCCCCAGGAGCTCTGCTTGTGTGTTGGCTGTGGGGCAATGGAGGATTATCAGGGTGCTGGGTAAAAGGTGGTTGTTGTCAGTCCTACGGGTGGTGGCAGGCATGGTGGTGGGGTTGGATGGTGATTTGGAGTGCTGAGTAGGGCAGGTGTGCAGGCAATAGGAACGGGTCTTCCAGCAGTGAAGGTGATGAGCATGTTTGTGGATGAGTGCATGCACATCTGGCAGTGGTGGGCTGAGCATTTTTGGACTTGCATACAGTCCTGGAGCCCCTCCTTCTATTATTGCCTTGCTCTCGACCCTCCTACCTTGCAGAGATGTTACGGGTTCACATCCAGATTCAAGGAGAAATCCCTCTGGACTCTTACTCAGGCTCTTCTCTCACAGCCTATTAAGAACATCTCCAATATAAGAATATCTGTACTTCAGTCAGAAGAAAACTCCATCTGCTTCAGCACCCCAGCTCCATGCTTATAGCTGATGTCAACTAATGAAAGCAAGAACAGAGGAAAATGCTGGTGTGTGCTTTCAGTTCACTTGCATTCAGCAGCATGGATATATTGTATATGTGTCCCTGACATCAGTGATGACCACCTGCAAGCCTAGATCAGAATCTCCTTGTTTCCCCTTTGTAGACTCCCTGGCTTTTTCCCCCCTCCAAACTCAAATGCTTTAATTTTAGTGGATGCTTGGGAGTGAGGAATAAAACTCTAAGATAGATTGCGATTGTATTGCTTGATGCTCAGCAGCAAGATTGTTCCACAAAGATGGAGATTCTTTAGGCTCAGTGCCTAAACACGGCAAAGTGCAGAGTTTTGCACTTGGGCCGGAGGAATCCCAGGCATCCATACAGACTGGAAGGAGAAGTCCTTGAGAGCAGCCCTGTGGAGAAGGACCTGGGGGTCCTGATAGATGAAAAACTTAACATGAGCCAGCAGTGTGCCCTTGTGGCTCAGAAGGCAAATGGTGTCCTGGGCTCCATCAGAAGAGGGGTGGCCAGCAGGGACGGAGAGGTGATTGTCCCCCTCTACTCTGCTCTTGTGAGGCCCCATCTGGAGAACTGTGTCCAAGTGTGGAGCCCCCATTACAAAAAAGACAGGGAGCTGTTGGAGAGGGTCCAGAGGAGGGCCTCTAAGATGATCAGGGGACTGGAGCACCTCCCCTATGAGGACAGGCTGAAGGAGCTGGGCTTGTTCAGCCTGGAGAGAAGAAGGCTGTGAGGTGACCTCATTGCAGCCTTGCAGTACCTAAAGGGAGCCTACAAACAGGAGGGGAATCAACTCTTTGAAAGGGTTGATAACTGCAGGACGAGGGGAAATGGTTTTAAGTTGAGGGAGGGGAGATTTAGGTTGGACGTCAGGGGGAAGTTCTTTACAGAGAGAGTGGTGAGGTGCTGGAACAGCTGCCCAGGGAGGTTGTGGATGCCCCATCCTGGAAGTGTTCAAGGCCAGACTGAATGGGGCCCTGGGCAGCCTGGTCTAGAATTAAATGGGGAGGTTGGTGGCCCTGCATGTGGCAGGGGGGTTGGAGATTCATGATCCTTGAGGTCCCTTCCAACCCTGGCAATTCTGTGATTCTGTGCCTGCAGTTGAGCATATGAAGGCCAGAGTTGAAGACAGGATAAGATAGGACTTGATTTAGGGGCCAGACTTCTGGATGCAAGGTGCAATATCATCTCTTTGCTGGCACAGGGCTTGCATAATCTTTGCTGTGTGGGTGAATGTCTACCAGACTTTTTGGCCACTTTCTGAATTTTCTCTTTCCTTATTTAATAGCTTTGTCTAGAAGAAGAGATCTCTGCACTTACAGCTGTTAGGCTGTGTAGGCATGAGTGCATGTGTGTGTGCTTGCACATGTTCAGTGCAATGAGCCCTCCCCCCTCCTCTGCACCATAATGATTTTGCAGCCAATTAGGTTAGTGATAGCTGTTAAATCCCTTCCAAGTATCACTGTTTTCCTAGTGTAAAACCTCTGCAATCTTTTACCTGCACCAAGACCACAGGGGAGATCCCAGGGGTCTGTGCCTCATGTCCGTGCTGTTTGTTAACTCCAGCTGGTTATTTCTTCTGCCTGCCTCTTCTGTCTCCAAGCTCCTTCTCCTCTAATGGGGCTGGCAAAGGCTGGGGATAGTGACTGAGCCTGGGGTGATAATTGGCTGCTTACATATCTGATGGCCTGCAGATCTGACCCTGATGATGCTGAGAAATCAAGGTCAAGGCAGCGAAAATGTGAGGTTTGTTTGGAGCAGCCACAGGGGATGGGAAATGGGGGCAAAGCTGAAGCAGCAGACAAAGCTCAGTCATTGCCCTCTGACAGTGAGAACTCGGTGCAGAGAAGTCCCATAGGAAATTGGAAAAGCTTCTGTTACGGGGTTATGTGAGCTGCCTGGGGCAGTGCCTCAATGTACAGGTTCCTGTGTTTCTCCACCTTCATTCCTTTTTGCTTGTCCTTCCTTTCTTCTGACTGTCCTAAGAGGAAGAGTTTATCCTGAGCTCATTGGCCTCTTTCTTCTTTACCTCACATGTGAATCATGTCAGTGACTACTTTTAAGCAGAGACCAAGGAGATAAAGGACATGAATGAGCCCTTTTCTACCAGGTGCTCACTGATACTGGGAGGCATGGATGCTTGATGTTGGGCTTAAGCCCCCAACCTCTTTGTGTGCTAACACTGAGGAATGTGTTTCTATCAATACCAGATCCATCAAGATGATAAACCAATCACACATCCTCTGGTCTCCTTTGGAAAGGGTGATTTAGACTGGATATAAGAAAATAAGTTTTTTGCAATAAGGGTGGTGAGGCACAGGTTGCCCAGAGAGGTGGATGCTCCATCCCTGGAGACAATCAAGCTCATGTTGAATGGGGCTCTGAGCACCTGATCAGGTTGTAGGTGGTCCTGTTCAGTGCAGGGGAGTTGGATTAGATGACTTCCAAGGGTCCATTCCAACTCATATGGTTCTATGATCATTGCAGCCCTTTCTTTATACAGGTTTTTCGGACCTTTGTTGTTCCCTTTTTTCCTTTCTGTTTTCCTTTTTAATACAGAAGATGATTCAGGCTCAGTTTCTTGGCAAAAAAAAAAACCACGTCGATCTAGAAGTAACAAGCTGTGTGCCACGGAACAGTGGGAATGGGTCTTAATACTGTCATTTTTCCATGCTGTGCTATTCCCTTCTGGGTGTGGTGTTTTTTTTCGCTCAGCACAATTACAAACCAGGATCTGGAAGCATTTGATCTGCTTTTCTCAGAAAGATACAGAGATCATCATTTGGAGCACGAAACAGATCTGCTGTATCTTGGGAAACTAGGGAGGAGTACTGTAATGTTGGGATTGCTGTGGGATACAAGATTTTCGGGAAGTGAGAGTAAACACTGCGAGGGAAGCAATGTAGATGCATCTCTGAATTGTGTGGTCGTGAGTTTTGCTGAAATACTGAGTCTAGAATATGCAGATAGACCCAATACTTCTGTGGATAGCTAGATTATCCTGAATTGTAATTATGCTAATGGAAAAGATTAGAAACCTTCTTCAACTGTTTTTCAGTCCAGTCTCTACAGATTAACTTTAGACCTGTAAAGAGAGAAACCTATTGAGTTTTGTGCAATTTCTTCTATAGTTCTGTCGTACTGTCAGGGATAAACTGGGACAGCATTCTCATAATCAGTTATTGATGTCCCTAAGTGACTCCCTGTTATGAGTTGTAGCTGGAATCATAAGGTGTCATAATTGTGCAGGACAGATTTCAATATCAGATATAGGTAATCAACAAGAGAAATAGCCTGTGTTGTATTATACGTTCTGCAGTAATATATTCCTCCATGGAATATTAGTAATAAGAACGATAATAGTATCTGACTAGCATTTGAGTGAGTCAGTCTGGAAGACTCTTGTGTGTTTTTTTCCTCTTTTGCTCATCATCACCACAAGTTCTGTCCTTTATATCCTAATTTTTGGTAAGATTTGTCCAGCCAGCAACAGTGATACACTGATAGTAATACAACAACAGTAATACACTGACAGTGCCAGAGAAAATTAGCAAGCTCTGGATTGTTCTTCTATGGATCTTTTGTGTTGATGGGATCATCAGCAGCAGTTAAGCTGCATTGTCCTTTAAGTGAGGGAGCATGGGAGAAGTTTATTTTGTGATGATGGGGGTTGTTATCCAAAAGGCATGAACAAGAACACAATTTCTAACGATTATTCTGCAGTCTAAATGGAAGGAGGAAAACTACTCATGTTCTCTCCCCACCTTTGTTTTTGCCCTGCAGATCCGTGTGGATGGCACCACCAAGAACACACTGGAGTATGAGATAGTGCAGGTGGTGGACAATGGCCCCATCTTAAGGGACATGGCCTTCTCAATGGATCATGAACACCTCTATATCATGTCTGAGAAGCAGGTAAGAAGCCCTGTCCATCTGGTGTTCTGAAAGCTTTTAGCTTGATCGTGCTATGGATGGCAGAATTAGATGTGACATTCTCAGTGAACAGTTACTGCAAAAGATACTCGTGCACTGTTGAATATCTAATGATTGTGCTTAGAAACCATTGCACTTATACACTGATGAAGATTATTAAGAGGACAGGGGCACAGACCTAAGGGGGAGGAACCACCCCCAGCATTGCCTGATGCAATTACACATCCTACTGGCTACATGACAAGGAGCTGCTGTTGCATCTGCTGTGTACCACGTTCTCTCCACCCCCACTCAAACTGTGGCTACATCTGCCACAGATATGAATAGAGTAAGTGCAAAGCTGAATCTTCTGGCTCCAAATGGAGTATTTGGAGTAGTTGGAGCTTTCCTGAGACATAGTGATCTAGAGTGGGAGACACGGCCCGCCCTGGTGAGGACATGGTTTTGAGTGACATTCTTGTTGTGTTATTAGCATTATTGTTACTGAAAATACTACTGGCCAGAGTGCGTGGAAGATCCAATCTGGGTCTTCAGCATGGAAATCTAACTGATTTTGGCAGAGTGCTTGACTGTAGGGAAGTTTGCTCCTTGAGTTGGGAAGAATGAGTTTGACATGAAAAAATTGATTGCTTGTAATTAGCCTTGTGAACGTGCAAGGACTTGAAGTATTGTAACTGGTTGTTTTATGCATGTTTGTAAAGCAGTCTTAGGATGGCTAGACAAAAGGGAGCAATGAGGGAATGTGGCAGGGCAGTGCAAGTGCCCTACTGTGCACCTCCAGGTCTAGTGCAGGCCACCAATCCAAGAGCAGTCTGTTCACCCATACATTAGGATTCATTGAGTAAAAACAACTCTCCTAACCTTGCATCTTGCACCAAATAAAAAACACAAACCTGATATGCTTCTTATTGCCTTCACAAACTGCCAAAAGTTCTCTAACACCATATTCCCCTTTAGATACTGTGTCCTGTGCTTTGACTCTGTCAGCATTGTGCTGCAGTGGTGAACAGTCAGCAGTGTCCAGGACAGAAATGGGCAACATTATCTTCTCCACACTTCCACCATTACGACAGGTTTTTCTACCCACTAATTCCTGCCTCTTAAAAATGAAAGTGAATAATCATCCCATTTCCACCTGTTATGATTTTATACACCTTCATATCTTCTTCAGGTGGCTGTTTTCTAGACTGTGACTGATACTGAAATGACTAGCCTTTACCTTAGTTAGTTTTCCTAGGGCAATAAGACAGAGATATGTGTGGGTTTTGAATGGAAGTGGTTAGTGGGGTTGCTGTGGTCCAGGAGCTCAGAATTTGCAGTCTGATTGTTTCTCTTCTCTGCATAGTCTGGGGTGTTATAGTTTCCAAGACTGCCATTTTGTGTGCTTGAAACACTTTATTTTAAATGTTTTCTGTGTCTGTGAGGTCTCTTTTGTTTCCATCTCTTTCCTCTAAGCTATGAATAACTCAAATATGGTTTGGGGAGTGGAGCAACTCTATACATTCATCTTCATTAGAGATGCTGTGAGATGTTAACACAGGAAAAAGGGTATGGTGACAGAGCTGGAACTTCTTTTTCATCTGCTCTTTTTCATAATGCTTGGAAGGATGGGATGTCTTCTTCAGTGTCAAGGTGAAAACAGTCCAAGTCATCTGCTGGGATGGGGTGGGAAGCTGGAGGCAAGTGATGCTAATGAACTTCTATGAAACTTGTGACAAGACACAATCTATTCACCATGATTTTAGTCAGGGAGTCCTTTTATTTAAGTAGAGTGAGGCTTCCCACACAGTGAAAGCCTTGATGCCATGATGATACACCAAAATCTAGTCCACTGATTTCAGAGTTGCCAAGATCATCCACTTTGGGACAACTCCCTTCAGATCCCATCACTCTACAGCCTTTCACATTTACCAGGCTGAGATGTTTGTCTCCTTTGGGCTGGTTGGTCTAGCAGCACACACAGGAGCTCTCCTGATTCTCTCTAGGAGAGGGCAGTGGGGAAAATACATGCTGCTCATCACTGTTTACTCAGTTCTTACCTCCTACACAAGCCATTGCCCATTTCTGGTTTTGTTTATGATATAGGAAGCAATGCAAGTGATAGAGCTGCCATCATGGCAATAAGGTATGCTATCTGTGTGCCCATGGTACATATATCTGATAAATCTAAAGGGAGGTGGGAGGAAAACGGATGAGGCTAGTCTCTTCTTGGTGGTGTGTAGTGATAGCACAAGGAGTAAAGGCCTAAAACTGTAGGAAGTTCCATATTAACATGAAGAAATTCTTTATGGTAAGGATTACAGAGCACTGGAACAGGTTGCCCCTCGATGCTATGGAGTCTCCTTCCATGGAGATATTCAACACTAGTCTAGAATCCTGCCTGTTGTAGGGAACCTGCCTGAGCAGTGGGGTTGAACTTGATGATCACTTGAGGCTCCATCCTTTGTGATTCTGTGTGAACACACTTCAAGTGCTTGGATAAACATCTATTTGGCCTCAGTATGTGGTGGTCAGATGGCTGAGGGTAGGTGCAGAGTTTTGCCATCAGTGCAGGCAAGATGAAAAATGTTGTGGCATTGGGGAGCATGTATTTTGTCCATTGTAGAAACCAACCATGTCATATGGTCCTTTTCACACATGGATGAAGCCCTGATGTTTGTCTCCTTTGGGCTGGTTGGTCTAGCAAAAATTTTTCAGTGCTCACAGCAATCCCTTTACATTTTGAGGTCTGTGGAGATGAGGGACAGGAGGGTGGCAGCTTGGCCTGACCTTTTTGAAGGCAGACATGGACTGGGTTTTCTTCAACCTCGGTCTTCAGGGCTCACCCCTTGCTGTGTCCCAGAGATAAGAGCAATTCTGTTGTGTATTCAGCCATTCCATTAAAAGCAGTTTTGCCAAGCTCAACTTCATTACTCATCAATCCTCAATGGGAATGGAAGATCCAATAATAAAACTAAATTTTCCAGCTTGCCTCTATTCTATTACAGCTTTGACAGTCCCAGCACGCATTGCTCTTGCCGTACCCCAAGCCAGTGAGGTATTAGGACCCAGCTCAGCATGGCATCTTTTAATCTGAAACGCCTTCAAAGCATTGCTGCTATAAACCTGACTTGTTGTCTTTTAAAAAATATCACAAGGCATGTGTAAAAGCAGCATCTGCCTGGCTGCAACCAGTTTAATTGTGATAGGACAAGGGGGAATGGCTTTAAACTAAAAGAGGGAAGATTTAGGTTAGTTGTTAGGAATAAATATTTTACACAGAGGGTGATGAGGCATTGCCATATGCTGCTCAGAGGGGTTGAGAATACTCCATCCCTGGAGATGTTCAAGGCCAGGTTTCACAGATTCACAGAATGGCCAGAGTTGGAAGGGACCTCAAGGATCATGAATCTCCAACCCCCCTGCCACATGCAGGGCCACCAACCTCCCCATTTAATTCTAGACCAGGCTGCCCATGGCCCCATTCAGTCTGGCCTTGCACACTTCCAGGATGGGGCATCCACAGCCTCTCTGGGCAGCCTGTTCCAGCACCTCACCACTCTCTCTGTAAAGAACTTC